GAGAAGGCTGAGGGGTAAAGTGTAGGGGTGGGTGGTGTGTGATCCTTTTTGGTTTTGGTTGTGAAATTATGGGTTTTGGAGTGAATTGAATTGAACCACTGTGGATAGAGAAAAATGTAGGTTTTCTTTTCTTTAAAATAAATGAATTGAATACTGTAGGGCTCTTGAATCAGGGTAAGAGGGTTAGGGTTTTAAAGGATCATAGATTTTTGAATTCATTAATCATTATATGCTTTTGTGAGGTTTTTGATTTTCTTGTCCATATGTTTTTTTTTCTTGCTTTTTGTTTAATTATTTTAGCAGTTAATGAAATTCCAAAATGCAGCATCAAGAAGAGGAGGAGATGCTGGTGCCACGTGCAGACATGGTTGAAGGTCCTCAACCCTTAGTTGAAGGTCCTCAGCCCATGGAAGGTTGGGTCATCTTGACCATTTAGCTGTCTTGGTTTATCATTATGATTATTGTTTTGATAATGCAAGTTATTTCCTTCATTAATAAGCACCAATTCGGTGTAAAAAAATTAACTACAAGTAATTTTCGCCAAGTTTGAAGAACTGTCCACACACCATGGTTTCTTCTCCTTGTACCAAAAATACAACTGAAACAAAGAGCTTTCTTAATGCTTTCTGCACTGTTCTCACTAGTATAATATAATCTCCTTTTTAGTTTGCTCCATATACCGCAAAACGGACGAGGTGGCACCGTCTTCCATGCTACCTTCCTTTCATTTCCAATCCTCTCCAATCTCTAACTTGCGATTGCTTTCTCCACTGTCGTTGGCAACATCCACGACTATTTGTCATTGTCAATCAAGTTTTGATAGTTGTGAAGCCTACTTGCAATGCAAAAAGAGATGATTAGTATTTTCTCCCGATTCTTTGAATATGCAACACCAACTCACAACTATCCTCCTCTTTCTTGAGTTATATGCCGTTAAAATAGCATCTCACACAGAACGCTAAACAAACTAAGCTACTTTCTAGGAGATTTGGTGCTCCAAACTTTTTCCTACACATCTCTCTTATTGCCCCTTTTTGACAACTTCAGATATTTAAGATTTAATTATAAAAGGTTTTGCTCCCACCTCCTTGTATTATTTTAGCTCTGCCTGCATCCCTATTACAAAGAATATTATAGGTTTGAGTTGATCAGGGTTATGCTTAGAATTGCCATGTTTATATTGGTCAATGTGATTTTCAGTGACGCCGACTGAGAATGCTAGTGCAGTGGAGAATCAAGCCGTGGATGAGCCGCAGGCTTCGCGGTTTACTTGGACAATTGATAATTTCTCTCGGCTATCAGTGAAGAAGTTATATTCTGAGGTTTTCAGTGTTGGTAGTTATAAATGGTTAGTGAAAAATTATCACTTATCTGAGACTTCCCTTAAAAAAAGGGAAGTATATCAGTTATCTTGGTCGTTAAGTTTTGTAATAAAGTGTTATAATTGGTGTCCGTATGTCATTGGTTTTTTTCAGGAGAGTGCTAATATTTCCAAAAGGAAATAATGTGGATTGTTTGTCGATGTACTTAGATGTAGCAGATTCAGCTGCACTTCCATATGGGTGGAGTAGGTATGCCCAGTTCAGCTTAGCTGTTGTGAATCAAGTAAATCCCAAGTATACTGTGAAAAAAGGTATTATCTTGTGCAGTTCAAGTTTGAATTCCAGATCTATTTATGTTATTAATGTGGTATTTCAGTGTGCTTTGCTCTTCATTGCCGTTTTATATATTAGGAAGCCTTCTTGTTTGAAGCACTTACTGGGATTTATTTTGGAAGAAAGTATGAAATCTCACTTTTTAACTGTAACTCATTCTCAGTTGTACCTTTATGTTTGTATGCTATACGCCTATCTTAAACTTTCTTTAAAAAAAGGTTTCTTTATCATTTCTCGCATTTTCTTAGGGTTGTCAAAGGACATGTCTTTTAAGTATACCTTCATTTAGAGCTTATGGATATGATGCTTGGTGAAATTTACTATCTTTTTCTCATTGTCGAGGTTTTTTGTGTCATTTTATCATTGAATAAAGTTGGTTCCTTATCTCTCTCAGAGAATGTAAGTTTACATCTACTAATTCGATCATACTATGCTGCCCATTTTCTGTAGTATCTTGTCTGGAGACTACATATATTATGCTTTTGACGAGTAATGTTGGGGCCCAACGCACACGCAAGTATACGCGGTCGACAAGTAATAAAGTAGTAAGTAGAGTATCATTCCCACAAAGACTTATGACTAACCATTAACTAAATTAAACTCAAACTAATTATCTATTCAAGTGGTTTTACTCAAAGTGTGTTGGTGATTAATTAACTACAAAAGAAACTGTACAGCAATCAAGTAAACTAGAGATCGAATGAAGCACGTGGGCAACTTGGGATAAAAATCAATGAGAGAAGATATTCCAGGGTTATAGGCTAACTAACAATCCTGTATGCGTTCTCTGCTTAAACTGACTAATTGATTTATCTGGTTTGTTGATGTTACTCGTAAGAATCCGTCGAGTTCTTACTCGCCTATTCAAGTTAACCTAATGCCTATATGTCTATTAAATTAGGACTAACAAGAACACATTTATAATTCCTGTATATCAACCAAGCAAGACAATTAGGTATATGTCGATCCTAACCGCGAATCCATTCCCTGATGTCCAGGTTCAAGAACTTGCTCTATTTAATCCTATATGCAATTTAGAATTCTCATTTTCGAGTTCAACTCTAGAATCGTAGATAGTATTTCACGGTTAGCTACGCAACAAATAATTAAGTGCATGATTAAATAAACAAACCAATATGATAAAATCAAAATTGTCAATGCAAACTTCAAACATCAACATTCATGTAGCACTCGTAACCCAGAACATAAAGAACTAGCCACTCATAGTCATGCTAATCATCATAAAGAATGTTTGAAAGCATAAAACTACAAGTAGTAAGAGAAAGGAAGAAAAACTCTATGATTTTCGGCTCCTAAATTGCCCGACAACATTTCTCCTTTGCTAGGGTCACTTCCCTAAAAAATTGAGTTTAAAGACTATTTATATGTGTAGGAAAAGTCCTAGACGATTTTAACCGAGTCCAAGCAAAATAGGAACAACTTGGCCTCCGAAATGCCCGGGGCGCGCCACACGGATGGTAGCACTGAAATTGAGTGCTATGGTGACTGCTGGGCATTGGGGATAGCACTGGAATTCAGTGCTATAGTGGGTGCGAGGCACTGGCTATGTCACTGCTTTATTCTTTTCTCCACTCTTCTTCCAACCACTCCTACACAATCAAATAACATGATAAAGCTCAAGACTTCATAATGCACATTAACTATCACTATTATTACACAAGATGTGAGGCAATTATCATCGTATTTTTCACTTCTCTTGAGCCGAGGGTCTTTCGGAAGCAACCTCTCTATCGTCATAAGGTAGGGGTAAGGTCTGCGTACACTTTACCCTCCCCAGACCCCACTTGTGAGATTTCACTGGGCTTGTTGTTGTTATCAAGTAAACTTAGATACTTTCTTTAATTTTCCTACCTATCGAGGTATCTATTTCTGCTCAATATAAAAAATTACACGTCACAAATCAGCTTAATTTAGAAAAATTTATCATCCAATCAGCTTCGTCTCATCCAGAAACTGCATAAGAGCAAAATGATTAGCCGGAATACTCTTTATTCTCCATGGTCAAGAGAATCGACACAATTGAATAATTAAATCTGCTCAAACCATCTTTATTGTGACCTTTTATTTCGTTTTAAAAAATCTGTTCAGTATTACCATGATATCAAGTTCTCTATCTTGAATTTTCCTTGTTTCTCCATCTTTTTGTTCGGACTTGGTAGATGCTCCAGTGTTATGAAAGGCGAAAAGCGCAAAAAAGCTCTAAGGTCCGTTGGGGCTTTAAGCGCAAATAATGTGTGGGCTTTAATGAAGAAAGGCGCAAATGGAAAAAAAATACAAATATGTATGTGTAGTGAAGTCCAAGACTAATAGTTTTTTTTTTTGATAAGTAGTCCAAGACTAATAGTTATAAGTTTGAATAACAAATATATGGACAAAGAAATTGAAAAAGAATTACGATAGTGAAATATCAATTGTTTAGTGTCGCTTCTTTAGAATCACGCTCAATTGCAAGGAAAAGTATGCCTTAAAGCCTTGATGACAACGCTGAAGCACCCGCAAAGCGAGGCGAAGCGCTCAACATGTTTTGAGCCTCGCTTCAGGGCTTAAGCGCGCCTTTGACAACACTGAGATGCTCAACTCGTTTTTTGGGTAAATTAGTGCATAGACACAATAAAGAATATAGAGTTTTCTTGAGAAAGTACGACATAGTTTTATTAATGTAAAAGCACCAAGAGGGTGCCATATACAATATAAGAGTTTAAAATAGATTTCATCTATTTATAGAGTTAAAGAGTTTGTATTTATCAAAAAGAGTTAAAAAGTTACTCCCCCTGTCCTAATTTTTGTATCATATTTTCCTTTTTAGTCAATCCCAAAAATAATGCCATACTTCCTTATTTAGAAATAATTTCTTTAAAATTTCTACTTTACCCTTAATGAAATGATTTACAGCCACACAATATCTATGACTTATTTTAAACTACAAATTTCAGAAGTCTTCCTTTCTTTCATAAACTTTGTGCCGAATCAAACACCACATGATTAGGAATGAGGTTATTAGGGACAAGGTAGGAGTGGCATCTGTGGAGGACAAGTTGCGGGAATCGAGGCTGAGATGGTTCAGGCATGTGAAGAGAAGAGACATTGATGCTCCGGGTCTGAGGAAGGGAAGGGGTAGGCCTAAGATGTATTGGGGAGAGGTAATTAGGCAGGACATGTCATTGCTTCAGTTTACCGAGGACATGACCCACGATAGGAAGGTGTAGAGGTCGAGGATTAGGGTTGTAGGTTAACAGATAGTAGTGTGTTCCTCCTAGGCCATTCAGTAGTACTAGGACTATTTTTTGTAAATTTCCTATTTATGGTTCTTTATTATGCATGCTGTGGCATTCACGCCCGTTACCATGTTGCATTATTGCTAATATTCTCTACTACTTGGTTGCTTTATCTTCATTGTTCCTTGAGCCGAGGGTCTATCGGAAACATCCTCTCTATCTCTATGAGGTAGGGGTAAGGTCTGTGTACACATTACCCTCCCCATACCCCATTTATGGGATCAAACTGGGTTTGTTGTTGTTGTTGTTGTTCCCATCATTTAGTTAACACCAACAATTTAAAGGATGTATACAGTAATATTTTAGTTGAGTAATATTTTAGTTGATGAAGTGATCTGCTTTTGCCTTAAAAACATCTGGTGTTTCTCTCTCTCCATATGGTCCACGGGATGCACATATTATGGTTTCCCTGATGGCTTTTATATCCCTTTTCTGCTTTTTAACTTCCCAAAGCTTTAGAAATATTGACATTTGAATGTGCGCATCACCCATTAAACTTACAAAATGTTCAAGAACATTTTGCAGAGTTCTGATATTATTCTGAAGTGCAGAAATAACTGATCTACATCTTCTGTTTCCATGTTGCACATGAAGCATCTGCTGCACAAATAAATCTCACTATTCATAAGATTCTGAGTTATACATGCTTCCTTTAAAACAATCCAACCAAAGCATGACACTCTAGGGGATGCATTACATTTCCAAATTTTCTCCAAGGCCATCCTTATTCCCAGTAATAAAGATATTTGTTTAAATCTCTGTGCGGATATAGTCAAGAGGAAGACTCTTTATAGAGAAGTACCACAAAGAAGTATGGAAAAAGTGATAGCTGGTGCATTAGCAGAGTTGGATCCCACATGGTCATGGATTGTGGAGATATATTAGTAGTCTACGGCATGGGTTTCAAATTAATAATTCTCTGAAAGTTGTGGATGAGCAGAAGAGTAGATTCTAGAAGGATATTTGGTTGGCCAAACTTTCTGAAGAATGATTATCCTGATATTGTTACATCGAAAGTTTATTATAATGCTACTATTTATCAAAAACAAGTTCATCCTAATGCCCAAAAAAGAACAAGTTCATCCTAAAAATATGTTCATCCTAATGCGACTACAGCTCAGTGTAGGCTGGACAAGTTGGAGCATCTTCCTTAGAAGGAGTTTCCAAGATTGGGAGTTAAAGAGCTTGATTCAGGTTATCACAAAATTAAAGAATAGCAACTGGGTGATCAATGGAGAAGACTTAGAGATGGGCTCATGATCGAAAGGGGTTGTACTCCGTTAAATTGGGGTGTGGAATTCTTTCCCTAAATGGTGACAGAAGGATAGAACTCTGGCGATACTTTTTGAGTGTGGGGGTGGAATGTGCATCCTCTTCTTTTGCTACTGTAGGATCAACAAATTAGATTAGAGTGGAAAACAGAATTAAGAGGGAACAGTAACATTAGTTTAACCTTCTTCTGCCAGACCAAGGCCAAAGGTATTGCAAGTGTTTCTGTTTATTGCATAAAACTTGCAAAAATTTTGTGTTCTTAAATTAAAGATGTGATGCTTAATCTTGCTACATTAATTTGTGTTTTTTCTAAATAAATAAAGTACTTCCGCTGTCCTATTTTATGTGACACTCTTTCTTGTTTAGTCTGTCAAAAAAGAATTACATCTTTCTACATTTAGAAACAATTTTACTTTAAATTTTTTATTTTACCGTTGATGAGATGATATATAGCCATACGAAGTCTATGACTTGTTTAACACCACTTAAACTCCGTGCCCAATCAAACACCGTACATAAATTAGGACGGAGGGAGTAATAAGTTTATTGTTGTTGTGAGCAAGTGCTAATATACAAATGGCATTCCAAAATAATGGAGGACCTATAAAAAGATATAGTTCTCTACACAGTGACACCAATTATCTACACTAACAAGGACCTTGTCGGCTCACCAAGTATGCACCAAAAAGAAGAGACAACCACTAATACAAGAGATCATTTTTTCCGAATGCCCCTTTGTATTCTTCTATCTCCAATGTACCCACATAAGAGCTACAGGGGCTATGTTCCATGCTCGACATCTCCTTCTAGGTTTGGTTGTCCAGCTATGAGCTATGTATCGTATCCTGAATTATACTCCGCATTGACCACTATACTCTAAACAGGTTCAACATTGTCCACTAGAACTAATTTTAGACCTGGCCATCCACAATTCTCACTTAACTGTTAAAATCTTTTTTTTTTTCTCCTTCACATTTTCAACTATCCGAACCATCACTCTTCTTGCTAGCCACGAGAACATGCCTTTGCATCATGGGAATTCAAACTGAAAACTGTGGGAAACATAATCTGGTAACATTTGTTGCGATAGTTTTGTGTTAGCTCTCCAATATTTTGTATACCATGTGTGTACCAGTGTTTGCCCGCCGTCAAAAAGTTGTTATTTTGTCCAATATATATTGCACAATTAATACATACACACACACACACACACATTTATTTTTATTTATACTATACTAAAAGTGGGAAGGCCTTAAGTCAAAAGTTGAATTACAAAAATATGCTTCAAATTTTATTGATCTTTTTGGCCTTCACCAAAATAAAAATTACCTCATACTCAATGTTTAAGTTAATTAATATACATTAAAGCAAACTAAATCATACCAACATGACTTTTCGTAAATTTGAAGAATTGGCGGCTCAACAGTATTTGTGGCCTAAAGCCAACATTGATGAGAGGCGTTAAGCTTTATTTTAAACAAAATCATATATATATATATATATATATATATATATATATATGCACACACACACACACTTAATTGGATTCTATTTTCCTAACATTTTGAGATGCAAAATTATTAATAACTTTTTATAATCGATTTCTCCTAATAATCTTTTTTGGGACTATATTACAATTTTAACTCTATTCTTTTGGTTTTGAACAAATTGATTCATATTGTTTAGTTGACATATTTAAATTCCAATAAATGATTAAAAAGACTATATATAACTATCAACTATGAGGTAAAAATAACAAAAATAACAAATATGAGATAATAATAACATCTGAAGTTTAGAATAATAGAATTTAATTCAAAAAGAATTGATGACTTGATTCTAAAATATCTTATTGCTCCTTCAATAACTCGCAATGCTTGAAACGCGGGGAAAAAAAGAGTGGCGCAATATATTTTATCAATAGTACTCTTAAGCTATGATTTTTCTAAGAATAATACTACTAACTTATCATACAAGAATTCGGAAAAAGCAAGAAAGAGAATATAGAAGAGTATAAATGTTATGTGAGAGATTGACTCTTGGACAAACCAAGAAAGAGAGTGAAGATTATAAAAATATAATTTTGTACTACATATTTTCTGATGAAAAAAATAAAGGTAAGAAGTTGAATATAGTGATTTCACTTGTTAGATTTTTTATCCACCGAAAAAGTTTGGATAAGTGATTCACATTTACCAAACTTTTACTCAAATCTACTCCTTCCTTTTATAAAAATATCTACTTTTCTATTTAAAAGTACTCATTATTTTCCAAAAATATTAACCTATTAGCCTATGTTTGGTAAAAATGGCCCCCCCTCAAATTTGGGGGCCTCAAGCATATGCTTTAGTTGCTTGATCCTATTGCCAGCCCTGTAAAGATCAAATTCATCTACCAAATGCAACTTATAATGTATTTCCCATCCAGGTTTATCTTTTCGTTTCTCATTTTCAAAAACCACACTATATATCTTTCTGCAAAAATACTTGTTTTAGAGGTGTGAAATAAACCAGCTAAGTTGTCCGGCGTAAAAGTTTGAAGCACTTTAGATTTTCGTGTGATTGGTTGAAAAACTTGCCGCTTCATACTCTGTACCAAAAGTCACAATCATTTATTGCAAACCTATCTTCTTCTTAACTTTGAGATTGAATTGCCACTCCCATTTTTAACCAGCAGGGGCAAAACTACGTTAAGGGAGGGGGTGCAATTGACAATCCGCTTTGCAAAAAAATATTTCATTTTATATGTATAAAAATATACTGCAAAAAAAAGACAAAACTCCTTATATATAGTAACTAATGAACATGCTTGACATCTACAATAGTTGTGGAGCAATGGTTGATCGGGTTCAAAATTTCCATAAAGTTGTGCTTTTTAATTTGTGCTGATTCATTTTTCCTCCCCTTTTCCCAATTATCAAGTTTCTTTTTTATACATATAAATTATTGATATTTACCTTGTTGAATTTTGAACTTTTGTTTATTTGAGAAAAATAAAAATTATAAGCCCGCGTATATGGTTTACTAATCCGTTACTGACCTATATATTTCCTTGGATAGATTATATAATAATGTATATATTTCCCGCCAGCAAAACTTTCTTTCTTCTATAGTTCTATTGCACTTTCTTAGTTGTATTTACTTTATAGCTCTCTTTTTGTTTTGTGTTACTTTAGTTTATTATTTATGCTCTTCGAATTTACTTTAGAATTTTTTAGTACGTTATAATTTAACAAATTTAAAGTAAAAAAACTAGAGTAATGTTTTTAAAGAAATATGTATCAAAATGCACTTTGTTTGCCAAAAAGGACTACTTTACATTTTTATAGTGGTTATAGATCATAATTTTAATTTTTAACGTAGTTTTCAGTTTTAGTATAGAAAATTAAAATTTGTACTTTGTGTTTTCTTAAATCAGGTTCTACTTTCTTAAGTTCACTTATTATTTTCTTATCTATTACTACTTCATGTGACTTTTGATAAAGTTCAACCTCTATAAATAATAGGGTAGACAATCACTAAAGTGACGATCTCAAGATATTTAACTGAACATACATCTGTGTTATGATTACGATAATATATGTTTAAAAGTTGTTATTATTATTTCTTTGTCATAATGCAAATTAGTTGACGTACATATAAAATACATGCATGAAATCATATAAAAATCACTTTCAAGTAATAGAATTATATGCATGGATGGTATTATTCGGAAAGATCATATCTCATACTTGAAAGTTGCTATGTCATTTGAGATTACAACAACAAGAACAACAACAACAACAACATAACTAGTGTGATCCCACAAGTGGGATTTGGTAAGGGTGGGGTGTACGCAAACCTTATCCCTATCTTGTGTGAAATAGAGAGGTTGTTTCCCATAGACCATCAACTCATTGATATAATATATAATACTCAGCAAGTTGTAGAGTTCTCAAAAGGGACGGGACTAAAGTCTCACAATAAGTAATTACTTACAGTGGCAACCAACCTTTTTAATACGTGATCCCAAAATCACATGTATCTAATTAAACTTTAATTATTTATTTTGTAGGTTTAGACAATATTCAATCATCTTGATCTTGACAAAAAAAGTCGTCATATGATGATCCATTGATCATTAAGAAAAGCTTCTATTTTATCTTTTCATGTATAGTTATTTATCAATTTTATTTTAATAATATTTAATATTATTTTACCAAAGCGTGTACTATATGACTCGGCATACACGTGCGTTTATATTATTTTACAAAAGCGTGTACTATTATATTCTTATTCAAAAGCGTGTACTATATGACTCCGCATACATGTGCAACGCACGTGCTGAGAAACTAATAATATATATATAAATTTGTGTGTGTATATATATATACACACACACACATACATACACACACTTACATAACATATGGAGAACTTTGTGTGTGGACCTAACCTTTGAAGTAGAGAATTTCTGCTTCTTGATTCAAGATCTTATAAATTTGTAAACAATGCACTTTAAACGGAAATTTGCAAGAAAAAGGCTCTTGAGCATTTGACTGTATCCAAGCAATTGCATTGTCTAGTGAAACTTATGTCGGATTAGTGTTTACGATTTTGTATAAAAGATTGGCCTGATTGTGAGAATGCAAACCAAGAACATCCTGCTCATTTTGCTCTCGGGGAAGCCTAAAATGGCAGTTAATGTAGAATGATCGTGTCTTTTTCATCCTCATTACATTTGGACTCTTTTTGGTTTGCAGAGACACAACACCAGTTTAACCAAAGAGAGAGTGACTGGGGCTTCACATCTTTCATGCTTCTAAGTGAGCTTTATGATACCAACAAGGGATATCTCGTAAATGATAGAGTTGTTATTGAAGCTGATGTTGCTGTACGTAAGGTCATTGATTACTGGACATATGACTCGAAGAAGGAGACTGGATATGTTGGGCTTAAAAATCAGGGAGCTACTTGTTACATGAACTCTCTCCTACAAACCCAATACCATATTCCCTACTTTAGAAAGGTTGGATTGTGTTTTAAGTTAGTTAGAAATTGTAGATTCTTGGCATTGGTTTTCTTGAATGAAGTGATTCTCACCCTGATTATAATTCATCAGGCTGTGTACCATATGCCGACTACAGAGAATGATATGCCTTCAGGGAGCATTCCATTAGCTCTGCAGAGTTTATTCTATAAGCTCCAGTACAGTGATACGAGTGTGGCGACAAAAGAATTAACAAAATCCTTTGGCTGGGACACTTATGATTCATTTATGCAGCATGATGTGCAAGAACTAAATAGAGTTTTGTGTGAAAAGCTTGAAGACAAGATGAAGGTATAATTCAAAAAATATGACTTGCTCATTCTCGACATCTTGTTAGATCTTCTAATAATTGCTTTGGTCAGGGCACGGTTGTGGAAGGGACAATTCAGAAGTTATTTGAGGGCCACCACATGAATTACATCGAATGTATTAATGTGGACTTTAAATCGACGAGAAAAGAGTCATTTTATGGTATCTATATATACTTGTGTTTTCTGTAGAATCATAACTGGCCTGTTCATAGACTTACCTTTACTCATTTTATGCACTTCTGCAGATCTTCAACTTGATGTCAAAGGCTGTCACGATGTTTATGCCTCTTTTGACAAGTATGTAGAAGTTGAACGTCTAGAAGGCGATAACAAGTACCATGCTGAAGAACATGGTTTGCAGGTCTTGTACTCCTACTATTAGCATTTAATTGCGCTTTATTTGGTGGGGATGTCCCTAGCTTTAATCTTAACTATGGTGACCATTTATTTTCTCCAGAAATACGGTATTGTAAAGTAGAAGCTTAAGGTGGTGGTTGGATACTTCAAATCCAAAACCCCTGAACTTGAGCTCGTGATTTATTAATAACCTTACACATGTGATATCTTTGTGAGAAAGCAATAGAACTTTCAATCTGCTAGACTGGATAGGCATAAAATTTTGGAGCCTGATTCCTCCCTTCCTTTTCCTTTCAGTCGTTTGGGGGATGGTGGGGGTGCAGTTGTACGGGGTATCACATGTAACTGAAGATTGCAAAATGCATGGGGAATAATATGTTTAGTCTAAGGGGAGACATCTTATTTGAGGGGACTGAGGTGGAGGCTAAGGTTGGGGGACTGAGGTGGAGGCTAAGGTTGGGTCTAAAATGCAATTGTGAAAGATATCACCAGTACGAGAAGGATTAGGGTGCCGATGTGTTGAACCTCTAAGAGCTTTCTGCATTTAATTCATAAGAAATTCAGAGACTAAGATGGAGTGTCTCAAAGGACTTCTTTAAGCCAGAAACTGTGTCGTATTTGTTGGCTTGTTTCTGTTACAAAAGTGGATTCTTGTTTTTATTTCAGGATGCTAAGAAGGGTGTACTGTTTATTGACTTTCCTCCAGTTCTCCAGCTTCAGTTAAAGCGGTTTGAATATGATTTCATGCGAGATACAATGGTTAAGGTTAGTACTTGCAAGTTTGTTGGCTTCTGATTCCTATTCTTTCTAGATGACTTTATACTTTTACTTTTTTCTATTGCCAGTTTGGTTAGGCTCATGGTGGTTTCGTATTTTCCCTACAGGGAATGGTGTCATTTCTTATTTTTTGCTTCAAGCATTTATAGTATGCTTCTTCAGGGACCGCACTTGGCTTGCTAATGAGAAAATGTAGAAAGAGAAAGCATTAAAAAATCAGAAATTACAAAGTAAGAAAATCAAGGTGGACAAGCGTCAGTCACAAAGGGTTTTTCTTGGGTTCATTATCTGTCAGAAGTCCAGAACCACAGTATTTACTTTTTCAATGTGATGTTTCCCTTTTCTCCCATCTGTGAGGTCCTATATTTGGAGGTCAGGGGGGCGGGGGTATTTTCGATGATAGAGTTTCTTATTTTTAGGACTACAGTTAGCTAATGTGGGTGCTGTTCTGTCTATGTTCATATATCTTTTCTACCAGTGAAAGGATATCACTGGAACTTTTACTATGAATATCTGTTATATGATGTCTTTCTAACTATCAAAAAATGTAATATGTAAGGTAATTTCACTATTACTCCTTGTTATATAATGTGTCGATTGACCCCTAATAGTTCTTGTGATTGACTATTACCTTTATGAAGCAACAACCCAGATGACACCTCTTACTAGTATGCAACTAATAATTTGCCATTTCTGTTTGAACTTCGGAAACTGAGAACTTTAGTTTTCACTGTTAAACATCATTCACTGTGAAATGTCCTATATTATGTGGATTCTTAATGTGCCTCGACATACCTGTGTTAGGTGGCTGCAACAAAGTATGGATACTTCATTCATATCCTTCAAAATAAAACATGCTTAAAATTGATTTATCTATGTCAGATACTTGTCCTCACTCTTTCTACATTTATTCCCATACTGGAGTCCATGTAATGCAGGAAATATCTTGCGTCTGAAACGTTGCTTAAGTATTCCCCTAATATAAATGAAAGAGTATTTAGTCTTGTAATTATGGTGTCCAGGTTCTATCTATGGCACCTTGATAATGTTTCCTTCTATGGCACACAGATAAATGACCGCTACGAATTTCCTCTGGAACTTGACCTTGATAGGGAGAATGGCAAATATTTATCTCCCGATGCAGACAGGAGTGTTCGAAACCTCTATACACTTCATAGGTAAACTTAACTCTCTCTCTCTCTCTCTCTCTCTCTCTCTAAGTTTACTCTCTCTTCCCATTGCATGTACACCCCAACAATGACTAACACGCAATGACAAATAAACAGTGTTCCCTTTGATTTTTTTACTTTTTGTGCATAACATAGTTGCTGCAAACATACCTGCAGTTTGATGTCTGAATTATTTGTGCTTTTAACCAAATAGGTATCATCTAAACATGCTTTTGGCTATAAAGCATTCATTATTTTAATAAATTACTCTATCCCATCTTGGTTGACACTATTCAATGTCCCACGAAGTTTAATATAATGATTTGACTTGTCTAATAGTGGGAGAAATTATTAAAAGTAATGGATTAAATGTTGGTTTTATTTTTGATATCGATGGTGTCTGAGCCAACTTGCATGCACCTACCTTGCTATCTCCCACTAGCACAAGTGCCGGGCAACTTTGCCCACCAAGGTTTAGGCAGATAAGAAGAAATCACTTAGTGTATTAATCTCTATTGGGATTTGAACCTTGGTCTCAAAGATTTGCACCCACTTCATTAATCACTCAAAGTTGTATGAAATTATACTATTAGTGAAATGGTGTCTAATGTTTTGGAACGTTTGGAAATGGAAATGTATCATATAAAATTGGATAAAGGGAGTATATGTTAATCTAGTAGTGTCTCAACCATACTGCTAGTTTTATGTTTAAGACATAACGATAAATGGTATCTCATTGTTCTGAGAGGTCGGATCTGCATTTGGTTTTGTATTATTTGGATTCGGTCTTCTTGGTTTTGTTAAATGTAATCTAATCCAAATTGAACTGGCTTAGTTCTGTTTTTCTCTTTATGGTTCGGTTTCTTATATTTCTCTCTTTACGGTTTGGTTTTTCTGCTTTTTTTGGGATTTAGAAAGTACAACTTTTCTATTTTTAAGTGCTATCATTATTAATGCTTATTTAGCTATGAGATTGAGTAAAATAATGTATAGCTCAAATTTTGAGCATACCACATCGATGTACTGAATGGATTTAGTAACTACAAACTAGATGGGGTCATAAACTTATTGTAATTTAAATGCTTTCTGGAAAAAGAGAAAATTTCATGAAACAACAAAATGTGGATTGTCTTAAGGAGTTTTTTGATGGAAGAGAGATACTTAAACAAATATTTTATCAAGCAAACTAATAAAATTTTATCTTATATTTTGAAAACCGCCCTTTTAATTTTCACTATGACCAAGAAACATAGGAAAATAAAACCATCAGGAAATCACTATGACCAAGAAATAATGGAAAATGAAACCACCATCCAGATGCTTAAGTTAAGCATTCCATATTTCACACTATCAAAAATGACAAACTATAGCAAACAAATAAAGAAAGATAGAATCTTAGTACTTAATACAAAATTACAAATAAATTAAGTAAGTATTATTTGAATATACATTTATATTAGTTTTTCTCTAAGTTCCATACTTCCGAGCCAACCATTAAGTAGCTCACAATTGCAGAAGTAAGGAAATGAGAAAAACAAAAAAAGACTGGAACTCAGAAAAAAATGTTCAGGTTTAAGCAAATTTATTAATCCTAACTCTGTAAGCATAAGATATTTAAATTCGATAGTTAGATAGTAGGTAAGTACTCTGTTTTTTTTCAGTTTTTATTTTGAGAAATCCGAAGCTATATGGAAAACCAAAAATCTTAAATTTATTAATCCAAACCACACCCAAAAACCATAATATTCTTTTTGGTCTGGTTTATCGGTTTAATCCAAATTAGTGCACACTCCTGTTGAGAGGTTTGGCTAACTCGTTAATAGATTGTTTATCACAATTTTGTTAAATGGATGTGGATGCTTCTCATATTCTGATGTTTTAGACATAATCTGTTGATAGATGCCAGGTACTCAAAATGTTGTTCTTTTCTCTTTAATGAAATGAGATAAACTACAGTTTCTAGCCACCATATTTTGTGCTTATGGACTTACCTAGATGAATCCGACCTTGGTTAGTATATGATAATGTTATGGTGGCATTAGTTTTATTTTTAGGCTAACTGCGCTTTCTGGCTCTTTTCTCTGTCTCAGTGTTTTGGTTCATAGTGGTGGGGTGCATGGTGGACATTATTATGCTTTCATCAGGCCGACGTTATCAGATCAATGGTATGCTTTCCTTCGTCTCTGTTTATATTTCTTTTAATCCCCCACTTAGACTCGCTGACAGGCACATAACCCCGTGACACGACTTTGCACATGCATTCAGAAATCATTGATGTATGTAATATTATATACTAAAAGAATGTTGAGCTCTAGGAGAATCCAAAAATACCTTCGTCACCTCTATTTCTAAGATTCTGTTGTTGTAACAGCTCACTTTCGTCTAGTTTAGTATGATTACAAGACACACCTCCTCTCCTGTTCATAGAAACTCAAACTGACACCATTTTACTAAAAAGGACCATTGATGGTTGCTAGAATATCAGAACGACAATTATATCCTTCCTTGATTACTTGTATTTGTTTTCTCCTTCTCCTTCTGTAGTGCAACCTTCACTTTTTTCTTCCAAATTCCTAACAAAATTGTATACTTAAATCTCTTTTTTTGTATTTCTCTCGTTGAAGAGCAAACACTTTTTAGCACTTCTCTCGAGTCAGAAATAAATAATTTTATATTCTGAATTCTATCTAAGGAAGACAGTCTGGAATTAGTTAAATTATACAGCAAGTAGAGAAATATTTCTTTATCATGATGTCTTGCTTCTGTTAGCTGGGTGGAAAGGCATTTTGAGAATTTTAAATTGGTATTTTCAGCACGTGTTCCTGTATATTATTACTTAATAAGAATATAATTGGAAACTATTTTTAAAGATAAATTAGGATTTTACACGGAATAATAACAAATTAAAGTTAAGGCTAATGTTATACCAAGAAGAATGATATTGATCAAGTGGGAGAAGGGAAGTTTTGGCAATATGTCATTAATTTCAACTGAAATCATATTTTCTTGGTCGACCTTTTACCAAGAAACAAGTGTAGTGGAGGTCTTTATAATGGAAGTTTTAAAAAATGGATGCTGCCGTGATATTTTAACGTAAGATTTTGGCGGCTTAATATTCATAAACTAGAGGAGAGGTAGCCGTAAGGTAAAAAAGAGCTGAGTTGGTTTGGGTGGGGTGATGAGAAGAGGGGCTGCATCTACATGTATAGCTTTGTTGTGGGGTCAGATATCATGAAGAGACTGTTACTAGGTAGTTCTTATATGTGAAAAGGCACGCTTTTGTGGGTAAGACAATTAAGTCAATGTCATTTGAGTTTTCAGTAGACAGCTATATTTAGCCAATGCTGGTAAACTCTGTTCAATCTGATCTGTTGTTCTATGATAGGTACAAGTTTGATGATGAACGGGTGACAAAAGAAGACATGAAGAGGGCTTTAGAGGAACAGTATGGTGGTGAGGAGGAGGTATGTCTCAATGATTCTATAACTTTGTGTTTCTGTGTCCATACTTTGGTTTGGATTCACTTTTGCTTTTGTGCAACAGTTGCCACAGACAAATCCAGGTTTCAATAACGCTCCCTTTAAGTTTACAAAATACTCAAATGCTTACATGCTGGTTTACATACGTGAGAGCGACAAGGATAAAATAATATGTGATGTGGATGAGAAGGACATTGCAGAACATCTGAGAGTAAGTTTTAAGTTTTGCCTGGTCTAGAAATATATTGTCTACACCGTTTACTTGGTTTACATATATATAAATGCCTTTTTGATCATCTTAGATAAGGTTAAAGAAAGAACAAGAAGAGAAAGAGGACAAGAGAAGATACAAAGCGCAGGCCCATCTTTATACAATTATCAAGGTCATTTTGAGAAGTTAAATTTCTCATTAAAAATTGATCTGTCTCCTACGAAATGTTGTGTTGAATCCACTCGTGTTTGTAGGTTGCACGCGATGAGGATCTTAAGGAACAGATTGGAAGGGAGATATATTTTGATCTTGTGGATCATGACAAAGTTCATAGCTTTCGGATTCAGAAACAGATGCCTTTTAACCTTTTCAAGGTACTGATTACTTTCTGTTTGTCATTGCTAACTCAGGTGAAATGAAGCATTAGTAGTGTTTTGGAGAGCGAGAAGCGGAAAAAAGCGAGGAGGCCTCGCTTCACCGAAGCGAGAAGCGTGAAGCGAAGCGCGCGCTTTTTTCATGTGAAGCGCAATTTATACATAAATAAAAAAATATTAAATTGGCAAAGATAAATGACCAAGAACTCAATAAAAATAACATATTAAGCAAATGTTTCAATTCTTAAATTAAGAAGTAAATAATAGATACTAAAACTAGGTAGTCACTAATCCTCAAAAGTCATAACATATTAAGCAAATGCAAAACCAAATCACAAAAGGAGCAACATCCTATTCTTCAACAACCAAAAAAAACACCAGAATTGCTAAAACAGGGCAGAACAGGGAACAACAGAAAAACAGAGCAGAAGCATAGTGAACAGCAGAAATTAAAAAAAAAAATAGAGCACTTGCTTTTAATAGAAAACAGGGCAGAACAAAGAACTGAAAAAATTAGAAAAGAGAAGAGAAAGAGAAGAAAAGAGGAGAGGAGTCGAACAGTGAACAGCCGAAAGTTAAAAAAAAGACAGAGCTGAATCCTAAAATAGAAAACAAGGCAGGATAGAAAAGAAGAACTGAAAAAAATAGAAAGGAAGAAGAGAAAGAGAAGAAGGGAAAAGATGAGAGGAGTCGAACAGTAGCAGAGAAAATCAGAAGAGGAAGAGAAGAGAAGAAAGAGAAGGAGAAGGAGAAGGAGAAGAAGAGAAACTTACCTGAGAGGAGACAAGAACTCGAAGGCTTGCAGCAGTTGAGAGAAGAAGAGAGTCGTCGCAGTAGAGAAGCAGATGTGTTGGAAGAAATGTCTCAAGTGTATTTGCAATTTTTTTTTTTAAAACCCTAGGCAGCCGCTAGATCTCGCTTAAGCGAGCTTTTCTTTCTTTTTTCCATCGCCTCGCTTCTCGCTTTTTTGCCTGAAGCGTGCGCTTATTTACAGATGCTGCGCTTCAGGGCAGAAAAGCGTAGACCCCTCGCCTCGCCTCGCTTCTGTGCTTTAAGCGAGAAGCGCTCGCTTTTAATAACACTGAGCATTACATCCAGTGATTGACCTGGACCTCATCTATACCTTTTCTGCAAACATAAATGAAACAAGGATATATTTTCTTCATGATGTGTGAATTTCTTCATGATGTATCCTTCATGATGTGTGAATTTCTTCATTCTTCCAACTGACGGGAGATTTAAAGTGGTTGTAATGATAGAAATATGAGAGTTGAAAATTTAGTTTCAGTAAATTGGAACATATGTTTCTTTAAACCATTAGATTTCCATAAGCATAATTTGCTTAACCTAATTAATGAAGCTTGCATCAATGAAGCATTTCTCCTCCTCCTAGTTTCTGCTGGCTTAGGAAAACTGTACTAATTTCTCCTTCTGAACGCCTTACTCTTATTATGTTACTTTTGGCCATTTGTATTACTATTATATCTGTAAATATCTTATGTATGTTAAATTTTTGTTCCACTTCCCTTGAAATACGGATACCTAACCAAACTATTGGTTGTTGCAGGAGGAAGTTGCAAAGGAATTGGGTATACCTGTTCCATTTCAGCGTTTCTGGATTTGGGCAAAGCGGCAAAATCACACTTATCGGCCTAATCGTCCGTTGAGTCCACAGGAGGAACTACAAACAGTAAGTTCTAGTTTTAATACCATGTTAAGACAATGGAGCCAGCATTGGGTAAACTGGGGATGCAAATAGGTCTGGTTCTGATACCATGTTAATACAATGGAACTTGGATCTAACTCAATCCCAAATGTTAGCTCATGAGGCAAGGGTTGTCCAACACCATATAAGAAGACAACAACTTCCCTCAAACAATATTTGACACTCTAACATGCTCAGTGGAAATGCTTGTGTGATTTGTCACTTGGTGTCAGTTGTATGTTAGTATCTGCTGGTGAGAGTATAAGAGATTCATTTGGTTGCCCCGATGTTAAATTGACTACCTCCGGCAAGGCAATAAATTTTTTGGTCCTTTTTTGAGTTGGTGTGTTGTAAGGGAAATACATGTAATGATGTTGTATTGCCTTCTTGGTAAAGTATATTTAATTAAAACAGAGATCTCTAGCGACCTATTTTGAGTTATGTTAGAGTTTGCATTGATGTCGAAGCTTAAACTTTCCATCGAAGTGCTTCAGTTTTTTTGGTTGATAAGCTCGCTGTAAAGTTGCTTCATCTCGGAATTGACCTTGTGATTTGAGGGAAATAGATCTCGTGTAGGAAAAAACTTATTAAAGCTGTTAGGGTTAGTTTAGAAAGTAAGGTTTAGAACAACTCCGGAAAGCTTATTCTGCTTCATTTTAGTGATTTTTTTTTTTGAAAAGGTAAAGATTTATGAAATGAGTACCAAGATGGTAGCAGAAAGAAATACAAACTGATGGGAATATCCATGCAGTTAATTATAGCATTTTCTTATTAACTCCATAAAGTCCATGTAATGATCAATACCGTCTACCATACTACTATTACACCAAGGAAATAGATTATGCAAACACTTAATTTTTATTCTAAAGATATGATATTTCTGCCCATCAAAGCAAGCGCTATTTCACTCTAGCCAAATAGTCCAGAATATGCACAGAGGTATGGTTCTTCTGATGCTGCCAACTATTCATAGGGCCTGACATCCAAGAAATCCCACATATATTGAAAAAAAGCTCCCAGCACTGTCTAGCATATCTACAATGCAAAAGAAGGTGATTAGTAGTCTCCCGTTCTTCTTCACACAAATAGCATCTGCTACAAAGAACAAAGCCACTCTTCTGAAGATTATTTTGGGTAAGACAAGCTTCCCAAGCAGCAGTCCAACCAAAACACGCAGCCTTTACAGGAGCTTTATTCCTTCAAATCACTTTCCAAGGCCAATTAAGTTCCCAGTGACTTGCATTTTTCCTTAGCAAATTATAACAGCTTTTGACCGAGAACTTTCTGTCATTACTAGCATTCCATATTAATGAATCCTTCTTACTAAGATCAATGTGGGTAGAACTCAACTGAAGGAGCAACTGACAGAAGTTTTCTATCTCCCAGTCATTCAAATTCCTTCTGAAGTTTATCCGCCAGCCAGAATCTGAATAGAAATCAGCCATCGCTCCATCCCTATTATTGCAGCAGTTAAATAAAACAGGGAATTTATTTCTCAAACATTCCTCACCATTCCATAAATCAATCCAAAATTTAATCTTTCTTCCATTGCCCACCTCCAGGCTAGTAAACTACTTGAACTCCTCCCATAGTTTGCAAACCTCTTTCCAGATTCCCCTCTAGTATACATGCTACTGAAAGGGGGATTCCATCCTTGTCGACTACTATAAATAGATTCAATTATTTTAACCCAATCTGCTTCTTCATCCCTATGAAATCTCCACAACCACTTGAACATCGTACTTTTATTATGAAGTCTCAAGTTCCTGACCCCTAGACCCCCC